TGACTTATGTTTTCATCTTTGTAAGGTTTCTTTCCATTTACTGTTTGGATTCTTTTAAAAACATTTCCACTAGCTTTGTTTAGGATTCTAGACAAACATAAGGAATTTCCTTGTTATTTCCCACACCCCTGGCCCCTTAACAGTTTTGCTGAAAGTAAGAGTCAAGTTCATTTCACCTTTTTGCTGAAGTTCTACAACCATCAGAAAACATTTTGTGTTCATCAATAAAACACTTTTAGCTATACAGGTTTTCAGAAATTGCTTTTGTGTTTTCTATATGTAAGTCTTGCAGTAAATACACCTTCAGAATCAGTTCAAGTACAAAAGCCGCTTTAGAGATGCAGCCTACTAACCAATAACTGTAATGAGAGGACCATCTAGTGGTGACAATCACAATTCACACTCTGCTATTTTAAAGACAAATGCACAGTTAATCTATGCAAGTCACTAAACAGCTTCTTAGTCTTCGGGTTGTTTTTTATTCCATAGCTTTAATCGTTTCTTTTATTTAGGTTTCAGTCTTCTATGATGAGACCAAATGAGTCAGTTTGTTGATTGTCTTCATCTGTTCCCGTTATAAGAACATTTTTGTCAATTCTTTCACACGTGAAAGTTGTTCATAGCATCAAATCATTAATCTGAAGGCACTAGCAAGAATTAAGCTGCTAGCAACTAGGCTACAAAATAGGTTTAACCTCACAATTCTCTCCTCAGAGAAATCTATTATACATTTTTTTCTTGAGAAATGACAGTTGTACTTAATATGTTTTACATCCACATCTCATTTTAGCTAAACAGATCTCCAGCTTAACAGAACAGACTATAGCGTAACAAGGGTCTAAGATTGCCACAAACCAGCAGGGACAGGAGAGCAAAAACTTGCACTGGAGGAAGCTGACTGAGAATGTGATACACATCTAGCAGTGTTTGTTTCTGTATTACAAACATGTTGAACAACTGCAGAGACATTCTTCCCCAGCTACCACAGTAATAGAAGCTGCAGAGAGTAGGCCCAGGGACAGGTTTATGTAAGCACTCATTTAACTACAAACAGCTGAAAGAACCTTAGTGGAGCTTCATAACCAAACAAACCATAAAACAGTAATAGATCATTTGCTTCTGACAGCTATTCTGCTTAATTTCTGAAGAGCTCTGGTAGTACTCTAGGTGAAACAATACTCAGGAGAAAAATTTCAGGCAGTTTCTCCTTAAAGACAGGCATCCTAAAGACACTAAGCTGCTTCGTAAACTAGAGAACCAGATTCTGCTCCAATACAATCTAAACCAAACTTTTGTATTATGAAAACTTAAAGTTTGGTCTGAACAAATCTCTGTCTCTTCAGCCCCTGTAAAGATCTAAAGGGAACTGCAGGATTTTCAGCAACTCAGCAAGTTAAAGAACTGCTGGATTGAAACAGAGTTCTCTTCCATACCTTCATGCATACCTTGCTGCCTGCTTATGGAACTGTTCCCCCGTTTTAGTAGCAGTCACCCAGCCTCAGAGTTCTGTTCCAGCCTGTTTTATGCATCTCTTTCAACTCTACATACCCCATCCCACACTGTGGAGGGTTCTTGAGGACAAGAGAGCATGCCCAAGCTCTTTCCCCACAGGATTCTCTATAAAGCAGGGGCAGCAGTCAGGAAGGGGCAAGCCTTGGCCACCTTCTTCACCGTTCAACCTTCCTTTCTCAAAGGAAACTGACACTTTTTCCAAAGGAATGAGCAGAGGCCACCCCAGAGGCCAAAGGAGATGTATTAGAACAAGAAATGGAAACTACGTGCTTGCTTTACATCCCAATTTTCAAAATTGACTATGCAACCTCACAGCATCAAGAGACTAACAAAACACTTGGCATCTCACTTAAGGCCACAGCTGTAGTGGCTCACTAGACAGCACAGACTGCATCTGCACATGGGCAGATATCACATTATGAACGATGACAGGAGAAATCTGAATGCCAGGGGCAAGTATTTTATCTGAGGTAAGAGCAAGCAGTAGCAAACTGATAATTTTTGGCAGTATCCATTAAACTGACAGGCAACTGTTTGGAAGCAGTCCAGCAAAACAAAACATAGCATTAACTAGGACCTAAACAATTTTTCATCCCAAGAAAGGACAGAAAATCCGCAAGAATGTGTTAGAGTGCACCAGTATAAACTAGTGTACACAAAAACTCAATACTATTTTTCTTTTGCCTGTGTTAACTGGCGTGGCTGAGTAGAATGAGTTTCTTTACTACTGAAGTTATAGGATTAAGAGCTCCATAAAAAGAAAAAAGCATAATCTTCAGCAAGAGAAATCTGACTAAGACTGAGCGATTTCATAGATAAGTGCCCTCTGTCAACTCCTGCAGCATTCTTTGCTGTCTCAGATGAAAAATTATGTTCCTTGCATTCACCTTCCTCCCCAACACTCCCACAGCATACTTTCCCTGTACACATGCTTTCCTCCTGTTCAACCGTCTCCTTCAGTAGCTCTGTAAACATGACTTCTGAAGTGCCTTCTTTCACCTTTCACCTGTTTCAAGGATGCTTGAGTATAACAATAAGACACACATCAGTCACAGCAGTAACAGAGATGGCAATAAATACAAAAACCATCCCTGTGTTTTGTCAGTCCCCTTCTAAAATCTGGTGTAGAGGTCAGACTGTTAGCAAAGCAAGCTCACTGGGCACGCTTACAGCACTGCCACTGTCATGCATTAACCTCTGCTGAAGGCAAAGGGACTGTTAGCAGATGCCTGGTAAGAATTCCAGAGAAGCCTGTGGAAAGCAGATAGTAAAAAGAAAAACCAGTGGTTATTTATTTACAGACTGGTTGTCTCTTAATTGCAGCCCAGAACATCTGCCAAAGACACACTCAGATAGTATGGCAGGCCAGACCAGGACAAGCATCTGCTTACTAAAATTGACAACACTTGATAGACCTCCTTTCTGGTTCACTCTGGCTGGTCTTGCAAAATGGAAATAAAACCACACTGTCATTCATCAGCCTCAAGGAGAAAACAAACTATTAAAGATGATACTTAAAAAGCCTGAAATAGATTCACCGCAAAAGGCTAGGGGCAAGATTAAAAGCACATCCTTGACAAGAAATCTAATCAGACAGTCCAGGAAAGCCACATAAAAAGGACATTCAGTCCAGGAAATCTACAAAAAAAGAACATTCTTTCATTTCCATAAAAGAACTTTCTCCAGCATCCATTTTGCCTATTTCTCTGATGCTTCAATATATGCCCTTCATAGCCTGCTATCAGGTACCTGAACATTCCCTATAGTTTTCCTAGATTTAGGTCTTAAACAGAAAGCTTTTTCATTTTATGATATTAAAATGTATTATTGTTTATTACATAATACAAATCTCTGCCTCCCTTCTTTATTAGCATTTTTGTCACCTCAAAACTAGACTTGAGGTCATTCCTTTTCCGCAGCAACAAACACACTAATGTGAACTGGAACGCGGAGAAGGAAGGAAAAGAAAAGCAGCTTGACATGCTGGGACAGAAGTGCTACTAGCAAACAAGAAAAGTTTGCAGAACTTACCAGAGGTCCCTCTGCTGTTCTTGCTCCTTTATCAAGATTGGCCTTCATTTTGACCATCCTAGGTGTTAAAAAGTGTTTGGCTGGCTGAGTCAGTTCTGAAGTACACATTACCTTCTGCCTCCCTAGCTTTCAAAGCCTTTTTCTTCATTACATCACTTGCATCTGCCACGGCTCATGATAAGGTATATAAGAGACAGGCGTGGCATCAAGACTCAGCTGGTGGTCAGACTCAGATTCCTCACAGTAAATAAACATGCATGTCAAAAATCCAGAGCTTATTCTGCAGAACTGCATGGTGGTACATGAGTATTTGTTTTATCCCTGGAACATTCCAGACACTCACAACTCTTAGCTTATGATCCCCTCAATACATCTGTTAGTGCGATTCCACTAGAGTACGTCAGGAAGCATGCTATTCCCTCTTCTCAGATTTGGGAAACTCCGTATTGTTATTCTCCTGTTAGCAGGAATATGCCCATGCTCTATACACTCACCCCTCAAGACACTCACAGCATAGATACCTTCTCAGACACATGAGTTGACTCTTTTTCCCAAGGCGGTTGTGCAAAATCAGTATGTGAAAATCTCTTCAATCAGTATGAATTTTGGTCAGCTTTTAAGCCCAGGGCCAAACTTGAGTTTACGGTAAGGCATTGTAGAATCACTACTAGAATATTATTACAGACACAGAACCAAGGGATTGTCTCCATGTATTTGCCATACTGACTCAGAAGACTTTCTGCCTTGGTAAAGTGATATCGCTCTGTCAACAGTTTAGGGACACTACTTGTGCAGACGACTACCACCTCCTCGATATTGTTGAGCGAACTTTACTTTTGAAGAGAAAGAGCTGTCATGCAGAGCAAACCTAAATGCTTCCAGACTGGAACACAAAAACATTCATAATTGTGTCACAAGTTCAAAAGACTGGTATCTATTAAACTCATTCAAAACTACAAATACACCATAAATATTATTTTCCACTGTTATGTTTTTCCAACCAAAGTTTAAATATTTTTTTTAACTCTGCATTACATATCTTTCAAGACACTTGATATTTTAAGGTCAGAGAATTAAGATGTTAACTTCTTTCTTTGTCCCGGATAAGCAAATTGAGAAAAGCAAAACACAATTAAAGCATAGAAAAAAACAATTATTTTAGATGTTAAAGTATTTTACAAGGGAAGAGACAGGGTTTTTGTAACTTTTTTAAAAAAATCAATATTATGCTTGCAAATTCATATCCAGTTCAAGATGTGAGGAAACAACTATTCTGCATTTAATAATCTTTGCCTCATTTTAACTTCAGTGATTTTCTATATGCAAAGGTACCATCACTTTTAGAAAGATGGCTTCCTCTACACAGCAGCATCATGTTGCCTTTTCAAAATTTCAGTTAATCCTCAACTCTTCACAGTTAAACAACTAATAATAAAGAACATGCAACAAGGAGCTACCTTTCACACCACCAAATGGACCATAAGTCATATTACAAGCAGTTCTCTGAAGATTGTGCTCATACATCAGTTTGATCTGATACTGGTTCCCATGTTCCACCTTTCCCAGAGTTCCTACAAAAAATGAAGGGTATATATTTATAACTTTGATCCATTCAAGGTGGAAAAGTAAATGAGTACTAATTTAAACAACCTGAAAACACTATGACTTAATTCTAGTGACTTTGAGATATGAAGGCTCACACTCCTGCTTCCTTCAAACAAATCACCAAGCTACAAAATTCCTAAAGGCCAGAACCAGAAATAATGTCTCATTCTACTAAATATGGTATAAAGACTTAGCAAGAGGCTGAGATTTTATTACTTACATGTATTTCTCTTCGTTAGGCATAGAATCATAGAATCATAGAATCATAGAATGACCCGGGTTGGAAGGGACCTCAAGGATCATGTAGTTCCAACCCCCCTGCCTGGCAGGGCCACCAAACATACACATGTACTAGATCAGGTTGCCCAGGGCCCCGTCCAACCTGAGGGCCCCGTCCAACCTGTGCATGTGTCTAAGATCAGAAAAAAAGCCTGCTCAAGGGGGCATTCCTATGATGCTCTAGTTCTTCAGTGAATATAATCCATCCAACAGTCAGCCTCAGCTGTAATAGTCTGTCTCAAATTAAGATTTAGCTAATCATTAGCTATGATTTGACAAAGCTGTGCTTAGGGCACATTGATCACTTGCCTTTACTCTGTCTGAAATTCAATGCAGTGATCAACAATGCAAAGATAAGAGACAAATATACAGTAACAAAAATAATTTTATTATAAACATCACATTCTCTGAAAAGGTCTACATGAACTTTAATTGCCCGACTCCTTCAGGGAACTAGCAGAAATTCAAAAAGTTGTTCTAAAGAAACTGAAGTGAAAGCTCCCCTTTTGTAATCAAGTCTTTCCTGCACCCCATGAAGAAAAAGCTGTTCATAGTGCAGACTAACACTTAAGGATTAATATTAGCAAGCAAAAAAAAAAAAACAAAAAAAAAAACAACCTTTGAGAATAGTCACAGGAGCAGGGAAACAGATGTTTTGAGTGAATGATATCTAAGCTAAATCCTGCCACAGCTTTAAGTACACAAAGTTTATTCCAACACTATCTTAAACAACATGTTACGAAAAATTTGTAGCTTATGCTAACCTTTTAGGCAATTTCTCAACTAAAATCCAACACAGCTTGTAAGCAATTACCCCTAGAGCAGGCCCCCATTAGAGAAAATGATTGGAACAGACATGCGGAACAAAGCCCTGGCTGGTAACTCGCTAAGTAGACACATCAGAGGAAAAACAAGTTAGAAAGTCGTCAGTCTGTGTATACTCACTGTAGTATGATATCTAGGCCATACTTCAAACTTTTTATATTGACTGTAATACAATATCCAGGCCATACTTTAGTCAGCCCTGAAGGATGCTTTCATTCGTTGAGGGGAAGCAGTACAATTATTTTATTATGAATAACAGACATGACAACATGTATAAAGTAAGTAAAGATCTCACTTTATGAAAGGGTAATTTGCTATGGAAGCATAAAGAAATAACGAGCATTATTTCTCAAAGGAGCTTGTTCAAAAGTACCTGTACAGATGACAGATATTACCATTACAGCATGAATGCTTACAAATTGGTATGAAAAGTCTATTAAAAGACTGTAAAACTTTATCTTTGTTATTACTTAAATGCTTAAGCCATGTAGACCAAATGGCAAATTATAACTAGAAAAGAATTCTAGACCGACTTATTGTTCTGTGCCGTTAATGTAAAATTTAAAACAAATTGTTTAATAAAAACTGTACTGGTAGGCTACAATCCTAAGACATAAGCACTATTACAGAGAAGGAAAACTATGAAAAATGCAGTACATCTCAAAGTACGACAACTAGAAGGCAAACAGAATCTGAAAAGAAAGCATGTGTTTGTAACCTATCTGAAATCCTAGTCTAGAAATAATCATAATTGTTTCATTTTTAAAAAGCTAAGTAAGTTGTCATTAAACAGCCATTTGTTCATTAGCATGCTGAACAGTAAAACCCACTCCTAAAACTGTAAATGAAAACTAGTTGTTCACAAGCACTATAACCACAGACCATGACACACATCACAGCATCTCCAGCACTGAGCAGATCAGCAAATCTCTCTCTAACTATCGGGAAATATCTAGACCTAATTACTAACGTTTCCTCTTGATACATGAGTTTGAGTGAGAGAACATGACTGCAGCTCTTCAGGGATGACAAGAAAACACTGTATATACCAAGTTCAGCATTAACCTAATCCAAACTCAAGCATGCACGTAAAAGTCACTGTAAAGCTTGTATTTGTAAACTAACCTGAAACAGCATATACACAGAGTTTTCGGCAATGCAACACAGCCAGATGAAGTCCTTCAGTACCACTGTAAACAAGGTTAAAAAGCACTGTTTTCAGATAAATTCCAAGTAAAATGCATACAGGATAAAATTTAAGTAACATGTTGAAATTACTTCCAGGTGTGGGACAAATCCAAAGGTTTGGGTGTTAGATGCTAACATAAAAACTCAGAAGTACTAATCTTCTTCAATTCATGCTGCAGCATTTGAAGTTAATTTCAAAACTAAAATGAACCCTTTAAGAACTCATTTCTAAAATAAAGTTCTCCTAAGTAGATGCTCTTACAGACAATTAATTATATGTTCTTAAAGGATTCCCTTTAATTTTGAAATTAACTTCTAATACTGCAGCATTAACTTTGTTTTAAAAATGAGAGAAAAACCTGTATTTACCACAGGAAAGATTTGTGCTCCGAGACCAAACACCACAAGCTGAAAAGTCTGTATCAGCTGGGAACTGTTCTTTTATTCAAGTATTTATGGAGTGATCCTATGCAGGAATTTAATGCCTTACCCTGTAAAATAATCCAAAACATTTTCTATAGTTACAGCAGAAGAACTTTCTCTGCAGGTAATACTACTTGGGTTTAGGGGAAGAGGAACATGAATATAGGATTCCAAGTTTATGACTTCTGCCTCATAGTTTAATTAATTTAGGTTCTTTGCAGCTGGTACAAAGGTAAATTTAAAAAAAAAGGTCACGTATGCAGTTGCTGAATTATACTTGTTTGGATGGATGATCCTCACATCTATTTGTTTTTTTCTCTCATTTCTAAAATAAAATTCTCCTAACTAGACTCTCTTACAGCCAATTAAATAAAAGGCCTTTTCCTTACAGTCATGGTATCTCTCCTCTACCTGGCCACTTATTTCCACTAAATTCATTCGAATTAAAGATTTTCAATCCTCTATCAAACCCAAAAAAACTGGCCAGTATCACATCTTGGATCATAACAAGTTAATCAAGTTTTCTTAACACCTAAAAAAACTTTCAATACAAGGTTTTTCCAGTTCTACATACTTTAAAAAAAAACAATCGTACAAGTATCTGGAAGATTTTCCTCCACATATACATTAAGTAAAAATTCTGTCATATCAAGATGATTTAAGAAGCATACTACAATATTAATAGATGTGCTTAATAGTTGTCCACCTGGAAACTGAAAACCGACCCCCCCAAAACAAAGAAAGAAAATAACACCTAAGACTTAACTAAACAGCAACATAGACTGTTGTTGACTTACGAAACAAATTTTCCCACTTCCACCTGCAATATTGGTTCTCGCAACTGCACTTCCAAGAGCAAGTCTTCAGGTTGTACTTCATCTCCAGGTTTCACAGGATGGGGATCAAAGATTCGGAGATATCCCATGTAGCTGCCCACAATAATTTTATCTACAAAAAAAAAAATACAAGAATACAATAACACACGTGGAATTCATTTTGCTGCGAAGTGCTTCAAACAATACCCTGAAAAGACAGAATATTTACATGAATCAATTAATGTTGATTATGCTCTGTCTTCTAGGTTAAGATTAGCAATTAGCTTTTTTTGCAAATCCATGAAAAGCTGTCAGCAAAGGATTCAATATAGCAACTATCAGGGTGGTGGCACTGACCACTGTTACTATTCCATCATTTTAGATTTATGTTCACACTTCTTTAAAAAGTCCCATTCTGATTTTGAAGAGTACCTCAAACTTTCAGCTTCTACATCTTGGATTTGTGCATACAGAAGAAGTGTTGCGATGGACTAAATGACTGCAATTGCCTGTCAAAGGCCCTGACAAGGGATGGAAGGTAATTGTCTTTTGAAGGCCTTAAGGAAATGGTTTGTCTCAAACATCTTGAATGGCCTGTACATTTTCTACCAAGGGACCCCTAAATTCTACTCCTTGCTAAGTATGGAATGACTAATAGTCTCATTCTGTTGCTAACAAGATCGCCTCCCTTCCAACCAAGAAGCAAACTTTGACCTCCCTCACCTCTGAGACACTAACAAGGAAAATTTGGCCAAAGTTAATCTAATACAGGGTCTGCATGACCACTGACCCCATTGGTTGAGAGGGTTAATGCTTGCTTCCCCACCCTTGCATGCCAAGATGATGGTTTTTCCCATGCAAATTAAGAAAACACCCCTCCTGCTTCCTATGCCATAACTGAAGAAAGTTAGGCGGAAACTTGAGAGCTTTTGTCTATAAAAGGTGACAAACCAAATGGGAAGGTGCATATGCACCCACCACCTGAGGATCCCAACTTCAAGCAGACACCATTGCTGGACCCATGGGTGGTGATATCATTCTGGAATCTTTTCTGTCTTCTCTTTCTCCCTTTTGAGTTCCCTTTTCTCTCTCTTTTCTTCTGTCTCTAACTTTTATGGCACATAAGGGTAACATTGTTACAAGCTTTAATATTAAAAGGTGATTACAGCTCCTTTTGGGGATTGTTCAGCAAGTTTCTGTGGGAAGCCTCATAGTGATAAGTGATTGCCCATTTTATTACTGTTAAGTGATTGAAAGTTTTATGTGTTGATAAGCAGTTACAAGTTTTAATAGTGATAAGTAGTTGTCACACATTGTTAATAGTTGTCATATCATTATAAGCTTTAGTGTTTTCAATATGTTGTGGTTTTGTGTGTTAGCACGGAAGGGGCTACAGTGATGGCTCCTGTAAGTAACTGCTGAGAGTTCCCACAGCTCCAAGTTTGTTTGGTAGCAGGGGAGGGGTGCACTGCTAAGATGGCCCCTGTGAGAAACCACAGAAAGTTTCTCCAGCTCCAGGCTGGACCCACCTCTGGCCAAGGCTGAGCCCATCAGCACCTCTGCAAATGACATATTTAACAGAGGGCACAGTGCAGGGAGCAGGGGTGCAGCTACAGGCAGGGCCTGGCTGGTCTGTCCAGCTGCTGCCCACCTAGCCAACCCAGCGTAGCCCCCACCTGAGAGCTAGGACTTTCTCAGGAGCCAGCGAAAGAACCTGAAGCAGAGAGAGGAGCAGGGTGTGAGAGAGACAACTATGCGACACAAAGGTCAGTGAAGAGAAAGGAGAGGGAGGAGGTGCCAGAGCAGATATTCCCCTGCAGCCCATGGTGCAGACTATGGTGATACACATTGTCCCCGTGCAGCCCACAGAGAGCAGAGCTCGCCAGTAGCTCACGGAGATGTAGCCATGGAGGACTGCACGCTAAAAGAAGTGTGCCCGAAGGAGGCTGTGAATTTTGTTGGAGACCCACGCCGGAACAGTTAGTGGAGAACTGCGGCCCAAGGGAAGGATTCACATTGGAGCAGTTTGTGAAGGACTCTCCCGTGACAGGGACCCCACGCTGGAGCAGGGAAGACTGTGAGGAGCCCTCCCCTGAGGAGGAAGGAGCGGCAGAGACAACACGGGATGGACTGACCGCAACCCCCATTCTCTGCTCCCATGTGCTGCCAGTGGGGGAGAAGTTAAACAATCAGGAACAAAGCCTTTGGGCCCAGGAAGAAGGGAGGGGTGGAAGAGAGGAACTTGTTTTTTTTTTTTTAAGATGTAGTTCTCTTTCTCATTATCTTGCTCTGTTTTTGACTCTTAATGAATTAAATTGGTTTTTGTGTTTTCCCAAGTCAAGTCTGTTTCTTGCTTGTGACCATAAGTGGTGAGTGAACCCTCCCTGTCCTGGCCTCAGCCCACCAGGTCTTCACCAAGAGCCTGTGTGGTGGCCTTTAAACCATGACACACTAGGAGATGGTATCCTTATAAGTCTTCTTTGCCAAGTCATTTATCTTTTGTAATCCCTCTACCTTTTACACCTTTTTAATAAAATTGTTGTTTAATTGAAACTCTCAAGGTACTTGCCACTGTCTCCACTATCACTGCGCAGATATCCAAAAGAAACCTTTCCCCTCTCCCATCAAGTGGGATGGGACAAGTGTGAAATTTTAAAATTGGGACCAATGACATTTATCCAAATGCAAAGTAAAGCCACATAATTGCTACATCAGGTCAACGAAGCTAGGCCTGCTCTTGAGACAGATCCATTATCTCAAAGAGGAATGCAATAGTTACATCAGAATTATTCTAGAATCAGTATTTTAAGCAAGTAGTCTTTTGGTTGTTGTGAAAAACAAAAAAATTATTAATGGAAAAGCCCCAAAGAGGTCCCTCCCATGATTAACAACCAACAACTTAAGTTGGTTGACAGCACTTATTTCCTCTAGATATAGGTCATCATACCAATGCAGATAAAAACCAATAAAACTTTTCCACAAATCAGGGGAACGTACAAGTATTCCTCAACCAAGTTCACCAAGCTCTAAAGGCTTGGCATAGTTCCACAGGACCCCACATCAAAAGCTCAGAACAGCTGCTTGCTTCCTCTCTTCTTCAGCCACAAAAAACTTGCACCTCCAAGTCCCTCATTCAGAGAATTTTTTTTTCCCTACTCTCATCTTTCCCTTAGTTTGGTAACAAGTATTCCATCATGACTAAACTAAAGCCATTTTGGTCATTACTTTCTTAAAAATACTAAAGTTTAAGTGAGGACATTTTGACCTGTGGCTAGGCAATTACAACTACATGATCCACTTTTGGTCCTGAATTCTGGAAGCAGAAGAGCCTAGTCTAAAAACAAAGAGAAAATATAATATTGGGAAAGTAAGTAAAACAGCAGACTACTACTCCCACGACACTGTTTAAGTCCTGCTTTTGTACCAATGACATTTTTTTCCACTAGGAAAAGACTATTCAGAACTCTGGCAGAATTTGGGGTATTTTGATCACACAACGCCAGGCCTGCTGGCAACAGATGGCTTGCTCAGCCTGGAGAAGAGGAGGCTGAGAGGAGACCTTATCACTCTCTACAACCACCTGAAAGGAGGTTGCAGTGAGGTGGGTGCTGGCCTCTTCTCTAAAGCAGCAAGTGATAGAACAAGAGGAAATGGCCTCAAGTTGCAGCAGGGGAGGTTTAGATTGGATAACAGGAAAAAATTGCATTACCAAACATTGGAATAGGCTCCCCAGGGAGGTGATTGAGTCACCATCCCTGGAGGTACCTGAAAGATGTGTTGACGTGGTGTTTAGGGACATGGTTTAGCGGTGGACTTGGCAGTGTTAGGTTTACAGTTGGACTTGCTGATCTTAAAGGTCTTTTCCAACCTAAATGATTCTACCAACTTCTACTGAAAAAGGTTGTACACCAAACCAGTAACAGCTCAACTTTTGTCCCTTTTCAGGAAGATTTGAAAATCTAAAATAAAAGTAATTTTAAAAGAGGAGGCAATGTTGAAACCAAACTGAAGCACCTCTACTGAGCAAAAACAGAGCTCCAAGATGAGCATGAGTGTGTCACAGAAAGATCCCAAATATTTATTAATTTAAAAGACAAACACACACAAGAACTCTCCCTGGCAGCAAAGGGCATTCCGCATTATTAATGACTACATAGAAAATCAGGGTTTACTCAAGCAGAGTCACTTATTTCGATGGCCTCTCATTTTCTAGGCAGAAAGGGTTGTTCATTTGTTTTTATAAATTCTTCGCTTATTAGCTTTCACCTTCCTTTTTTCCATGCCTTACAATGTGCTTCCTCCCATGACTAACTGAAAATGTTCTATTTTAAAGATATCTACCTTTGAGGGAATAAGACATGCGAGAAATTACTTCTGAACACAAGCAAGAATTAAGATGTTTAGAAACCTACAAATACACAAAGACTAATAGCACTGAATTTGTCTTCTTAGGCCTACAAGGACACACTAAAGATAGCAGACTTTAACTAGCTGACGATAGCTTGGCTAACAAGCTTTCAGTATGCATTGGTCAAAGCAAACTTGCAGGTGTGTAGCTTAAAAGTCAGCAACCGTGTAATTCTGAATTTACCTTGTCCACTGCCACTATTATCAACATCACCAATACACAGACAGCCTTGGTCAAATTCTTCATTTTCTCCAAGTAGGGTGGACCACCAGTCTCTAGCTTTAAACAGCGACATTCTTCTTTACTGAAAGGGAAACAAACCATTGTTGACGTGTATGCTAATAGATATACATAGCTGTTTATACAAACAACTTTTTCTTTGTCAGTAACAACTTTTTTAATGTCAATTTCAGCTGTCTTGGGTTTCTTTTTATGTGGTTCAGGAAACAACCTTAGGAAACTTCTTGTCATTAGTTTACAGGTTAGTTGTGACAGACACCGCTAGTTATATGACAAAAAAGCAAAAAAACCCCAGCTTTTTAAAAACTGTTAAAAGCCTTCTGTAACAAGCATAAAGTAATATAAGTTTCCAAAGTCACAGAACTGAGGCTTTCTCTCTTACCAAGGAGCAGAAGAAAAAAAAAAATTCTTATGCAAGTCTTCTACAAGAGAACTTATTTTCTGAAAAGTAAATGAAGACATGAAGAGACAGCATCAAAACCTCCACCGAGTAATCGCCTTGAAGATGCCCTAATGACACAGCTAAAGAACTCGGTCAGTTAGGGCACAAATCAGCTTTTCTGCTCCCTACCTGCTGTTATTTTAAGAATAAGAGAAAGAGACTAATCCTTTTGTAGGCAGCTTGACAATAACATTACCTTAGCTCAAAACTCACAGCTCCACGCCACGCGTGGGACAAACGGGAACCCACTCGACCCCACAGCCCGCGGAGGAGATGAGGGGCTGCCAGCCAGCTCCAGCGGTTCTTTCCCTGAAAAAGAACAAAATCAGGGACACACTTCTTGTGAGTCAGACACAGCCCACGGCTGCAGCACCCACAGCCCCTCCACCCGGGCCCGGACACACACACACCCGAGGGGGACAAGGGACAACACCCAGCGGGGTCTTACGTGGGTGGGAAACGGCACCT